TAGGATATGGATTCGCTGGTGAGTATTTTAAACGGTTTGGACATCCCACACATGAAATGACTCGCGTTGCTATTAATGGACCACTGCCTGATTTTGATTTGACCGGTTTTGCTTGCGTAGTATCATTTGAATTCGCTGAAGGACTTCATCCGTGTTGTTATGTTTGGATTGGTAGACACATGGCTGAAAGGATGTGGTTACCAATAGTGTTATTGCGATATATGATTGATTGTAAAATGTTAGTTTCGTTGATTGTCAGCGAAGCGATTATCTCATATCAAAAACAAACCAATGTCTGGTTACCAGAACCAGAATGTCTTGATAGTATAATCGATAAGTCTAGAAAACATATTGATGCTGACGAGGAGTACATTATTGAATGGTCAAAAAAGATATTTAATCAACGAAATAGTGAAGCAAAGGATCTTGGCCGAAGAATAATCGGTAAATTTACACAAGGTGGAAAAAAATTAACTTTAAAAGACAATCCTCACGATTGATTATAGATGATGCCGAATACGACTTCGTTATTAAAGATGCAGTAGAGAAAAATAGATACGCAAATTGTAAAACAGCCTTTTTATCCAATAAAACAAAGTTAGGTAGAATTGTTACTTACAGTGATTGAGAAAGCTCTGCATATCTACATTTGAGAGCTTCTATGCTGGGTTATGCATCTATCAATTTATTTGCAATGATAAATAGATTTCCTAGTATAGCAGTCAGAGTTGCAATTGATTCAATGTATGTCGATAAAAAATATATCAAAGAGATAACTAAATTTACTAATAGCGAAGAGACTTGGGGAACATGGCGAATTAAACATGAAATACAATGCAATTATTCTGAATCAGCAGACCTTGAGATTAAAAGCAGTTACCTGAAGAACGATAATTCTATCAGTGAAAAATCCGAAGGATTTTCTATGTCTAAAGCACCACCGATATCAGATCCAATTTGTAGATATAAAACAGTTTATTTAAACGGTTGTGGTGGATCTGGAAAGACAACACGTGCGATAGAATTATATCGAGAGAGAACGTCCATGATTGTACTCACACCAACCCATAGACTAGCGAGAGAGATCAAACAACGAAATGTTGAAGCTTGCACGTATCATAGTTTTTTTCGATACAAGGGCGATGCTTGGACTCCTGAGCGAATGGGTGAGAAATTTATTCCAGCGGTTATTATTTGGGATGAAGCATGTACTGTTTCAGAAGATGTATTAAAAATGTTTCTTGATTGGTTATTGCAAAATAATACAAAAATTATATTGTGCGGCGATCATGGTCAACCACCACCATTTGTTGGTAGAAGTCCACATAATTGGTTAAAAGGATTTGTTGATTATTACGAAGAAATTGATACTGACTATAGAGCACTCGATGAGCAGTTACGTGAGTTTAAAAAACTAATTAGATTACAACCCGATAGAATTCAATGTGAAGTAGCGCGTGAAATAATTTCTGAAACACCTTTGAATGATTTTTGGGAAACATGGAAACCAAATGATTTTGTAGTAGCAAGTAGAAAGATAGTCAGAGACGCACTTCAGAAAAAGTTGTTTGAGCTACACAAGAAAAAATTCCCAACGTTTCCAGTACCGTTGTGTTATAGACCATTGGATACACGAAAGCAGAATATTGAAGTTGAAATTCCAGGCCAGACGGAGAAACAGATTCTAGTGTTAAATGATATTGTGCTAGTTGATATCAATACTGTAGAAGATGCATTATGCGCTGATAAATCACCATGGACGCTTGGTTATGTAACAACAATACACTCGTCACAAGGATTGACCATCACGGATACAATTGTTTGGATAGTTGATAATCGCATTGAATGGTCAAATTAAGTCTATCTCGCAGTGTCCAGAGTACGACGAATAAATCAACTACGAAGGATTGTTTTCGATGATGATTTTAATGCAAACGATGATAACACTGATATTAGCATCATTAATAAAAAACTCTCTGGTTACAAACAGCAGGACAAAAAAAAACAACGAGAATTTGATATTGATGCTGAAGTAATAATCGCATTAAAAGAACAACAGAATAATCACTGCGCCAGTTGCAATTGTATAATGCACTGGCAGTATTCGGATAAAGACCCTCGACAATTTACCGTAGACAGAAAAAATAACAGTCTTGGTCATGTCAGAAACAATGTGATGTTGACCTGTCTTGAGTGTAATAGACGTAACGGAGCTAGTTAAGGCCATGTGGCGGTAATTGAGTATCGTCCGGAATGACTTGTAGTTGTTCGCGTGTAAAACCACGCTGAGGTGCAGTTGAATCCAATCTGTAGATTGGAGGTCTACCAGTTGATCGCGTTATGGTTGAAATTTTATGCGTAGTAACACTCCATATAGGATCAGTAGCTCTTCTTTTACCACCTTCAAGCTCTCCTGGTTCGTATAAATATCTCACAGTAACATCACCGAGAAGTGGCTGAGTGCTAACCCGCTGTGGTTGTTCGGGAATATATTCTTTTTTTATTGCAATATTTGGTTTCATATTAATAGTTCGAGTAATCTCGTTATTTAACGCTGCAACTACACTCGGTAACCTTTGGACCCATTCACGAGATCGTTTTTCTTGGATGAATTCTTTTGCATATTGATATCCAAATAACCGTTCTGCAAGAGTTCGATTAAATCGTTCTACAATTGCCTGATCACGATGTAACGCAGTATGTCCCCGTCGTATTGTAACATTATGAGTTTTCATTGTTGATAGAACAGCACCTTGAAACTCTTTGCCAGGATCAACTTGTAATAGATTTGGCCATCTTAGAGGACCTCGTCTATAAATCCTTTCAAATGCAGAAGCGACTTCAGAAGCTGACTTTGTTTTCAATGGTTCTGCTTGTTTAAATCGACTCGCAATATCAACTACAGTTAGCGCGTATTTGTAACCATGGTCATGTGGTAAAAACAATAAATCAGCCTGATGAACTTCATTGGGTACGGTAACATCAAAATGAGAATAATTAATTTGTTTAGGCGGTGGTAGATAAATTTGCCGTATAGCTTGTTTGGATAACCAATCTTTTGCAGTGGATTTTTTCACTTTTGCAGCGTTAGCAAGTTTACTAATTGCTGCTTTACCCCTCCAGTATCCTTTCGGAGAATAATAAATAGATTCCATACTATAAAAAACACTGGTATTTTTAATTACCAGCACCTAACACCAATTTGCCTTTCATAGCTGATTTGACCAACCATGAAGCCAATTTTTCTTTGAAGGATTTATCGGGAATAGCATTTAAGGCATGAATTAATTTTACATCCGCGATATGTCTTTGTTGCAAATTATTGCTTTTATATGCAACATCATGAGCATGACATGCCTTATCAATAGCATTTATCGGATACTCACCAGGCCGGGGCTGATTTTGATCATCAAGTCTGATATCTAATCTCGTTCCGGGACCACAGTAGCTATATCCTGGAAGGTGTTTTTCTCCGGGGTATTTTGCCCATGGGGTTCCGGGGAGTTTTCCAAGTTTTGCGGCAATATCACCTCCGAGTTGCTTTTTTTTAAAAATCGAATTTTTTTTGTACCACATGTTACACACTTACCAGTAAGCGCTAGTCTATTGTTTTTAGTTGTAATGGTTGTCTGATCGGTTGTATCAGTACGCTGTTTACACTTAACACAATATAGATCCATAATTTATATATAGAGTTATGAATATAATTGACTTTTCAGCGACTAAAAGAAGAGAACCGGTAAAACACCACGCAGCGCTTCCGAATTCTGTCCGTGCCATTATAATCGGACCATCTGGATCAGGCAAAACACAATTGCTGCTTAATTTGATAATGCGATTTATGAAGTGGGATAAATTATATTTAGTTGCACCATCCGTAGATGATCAACGGTGCTATGAAGTGCTAAAAGATTATAATGAAAATGCATCAGAAATTAAAGGTGAAAGTGTAATTGACTTTATTACTGATATTAATGATGCACCATCAGTAGAAGATCTCGATGGAGACATAAACAATCTTGTAGTGTACGATGATGTAATGTTAGATAATCAAAAGAACCCTGCTAGAATATTTTCCCGAGGTAGGCATAAAAACACTGACGTGATATATGTCACTCAACGATATACTCAAATTCCAAAAGTGATTCGCGATAACTGCAATATTCTTGCTGTATTCAATGGCGTTGATACACATACGCTACGAAATATTTGGCAAACATGGTGTTCCGATATGGACTTCAATGGATTTAAAAATTACTTTGGTCATGCTCAGTCAGTCCCATATGGATTTATAACAATAAATTTACACGACCCTCGGTCACGATATCGTATTGGACTTGATAAAATATTTGGTTAAATAATTTGTATTAATCAGCAGCAGGGAGGGTGAAATGACAACATATTTGCGACGTAGATGGCAGCAATTTCGAGGGTGGTTATGACAATGTATTTGCGACAAAATCGCTAAGGCTCCATTTGTAAAATGGGGTCTTTAATTTTTTTTTTTGGTTAAAATATGAGATTTCGTAGGAAGGTTCCATTTGGCATTCTGAGGCTTTAATCGATTTTGTCGCAAAAATTTATAGGATTCACCCTCCCTGCTGCTATAATAATAATAATAATAATAATAATAATAATAATAATAATAATAATAATAATAATAATAATAATAATAATAATAATTGAAAAGGAACATTAAACGCATGGAAAAAATCGTGCTCACTACACAAATTTCATCTTTATTGAAATAGCAAGTCATCGCCACATTTTATCATCACAAGCGACCATCACAGATTTGGCAGTCTGGCCAGAATGGAATTGCATTTCCTTGCCACACATATGAATCATACAGCACTGCTTACACTAGCCCCGTTGCCCACACCTCACATCCATATGCGCACTTCGAAGAGAATTCGTTTTCGACATCTCTCAAGTATCTCGCCTTAATGCTGAGCGCCAAGCGAGGCAGCTGTTAGTACCATTTTTTAAAGTCTTTGGTATAACTCGACCAGGGTTCGAACCCGCGACCTCCCGCATCTGAGAAGGACGCTCTAACCACTAGGCCACCGGAGTGGTCAAGTTAAGTGTAGTATCTTACCGTTAAGTATAACGTATTTAATTATACTTGCATCTACTGCATAGAGAAAAATGGAGGTGTCTCCAAGACATAAATTGCCTCAGATACCAAGATGGCGGACATCGTAAGTTACATCGAACGTAATACATAACATCAGTCACACATAACATCAGTCATAGAGAGCATCAGTTACACATAACATCAGTCATACGTAACATCAGTCACACATAACAGCAGTCATAGAGAACATCAGTTACACATAACATCAGTCATAGAGAACATTAGTCATATATAACATCAGTCATACATAACATCAGTCATAGAGAACATCAGTCACACATAACATCAGTCACACATAACATCAGTCATACATAACATCAGTCACACATAACATCAGTCATAGAGAACATCAGTCACACATAACATCAGTCATACATAACATCAGTCATACAGAACATTCTTGGGCAAAGTATCGTATTTAACATAGCTTCAAAATACCCGTCTGTACAAGAAACTATTATATTTGTAATTTACAGCATTCAAATAATGTAGAAATAAACAACGGGAAATTAAAGCAAAATAAGAATACAATATTGCATGGTTACTATGTTTACTTATTATTTATTTTAAATCTGTTTAATCTTTTAAATGTCAGTCTCCGTGTGATATGCTTACATTTTTGGTACAACCTATCTGAATGGAAAATGTAATGCAGGTTTTCAAGGCCACTTTTAATACTGCCTTGAGATGTCTTATTTATATTTTAGTAAATTTGTTTGCTTCTAAATATAATGTAGCTTAATGGAAGGCTTGTATGTTTCTCAAAGGATTTCAACACACAATTCGGCAAACACAGATTCTCCTCTCATGATGTCATCGGCAGCCACTTTTGTACTATACTGACCTAATGACTATTGATTTCATATGTGTTTGGAAGTTGAAGTATATTCTTTGACTCTCAGATCAATATTACAAACCGGTATAAGCAGATACAAAACAAAAACAAGCTTTCTGTCAGTTTCTGTAATTTTATGCAGATTTAGTAGCGTTAACATGCTGCCAGTGGCAAAGCTTCGGCATGGGCGCCCGCATGTAGGAGAGGGGGTGGAGACATTAGAGAGTGCATAGCGCCTATTTAAGATCTCTGAGCCCAAAAGCGTTTACAATGAATTAGCTGTAAGGGACCAAATTTGCATTAATTTAAAAAAAAAGCCTTACACTGGCACTAAAGTACATGTAGTAAATAAACTTATATCGTCATTTTGTTTCCTGTATTTACATCCGACTAGTATTACGTTAAAGTGTATTATGAGTTTAGCATTTCGATTCGTTGAGAGAGACAGACAGACAGACAGACAGAGATAGAGAGAATAAACCTGCCCAGAGAGCTTATGTTTGTGATATAATTATCACTCTGAAATACTAAAACGTAGACCCCTTTCACGAGATATCAATATCACTTTGTAAAATGTAAATCAGGAATGGAGCAGAAGGTGGTTTCCGGAACCGCCACCACCCCACCACCCGCTAGAAAAATAATAAAACAAAACCCCATATACACACACAAGCGTACATTCACTCGTCACTTTAAATTTGACCACAGTTTTATTTGTTTTGCAAGTTTATTGAATATTGAGCACAGTTTGAGTAAATAGACACAGACTTTTGCTTTGGAGCTATTTCGAAGAAACTCAGGGTCCTTTTCAAACTTTGGAGACCCCGTCCAATACTCGACTTTATCTGGCCCTGTACATGATAATAATATATGAATTTACAAACACTTGTAAACCTTTATTTACTTCCTTTTCATTTTACATGGGATCCCAGTTGTTGTTATTATGTTCGATTAGTGCTTTCATTTTGATTTTAAATAGAACCAGTGCATAAATGTGTCAAGAGCGTTGAATGACATAGTGAGTGCTTTATAAGTGTTCCCAGATATGTCTTTATTCAAATCCAAATATGATGCATGTAAGGTCAACGTTAACTTTGAGTTTTAAAATCAATAAAGGCTTCTATTCATGAACGAAATAACTATCTCTTCTTCTATCTCTTATTTGAAAATATTTAAAGCAATCATAACGATGCAGTTTTAGATTTTGAGTAAGAATTGTCCGTCTAACGTACTAATTTTACTTGAAGTGTTAAGCAAACGTTTAGAATGCAAAGGCCACATTATCATAATCGCCAAGCGGTATCAACCTGTAAATCTAGATTCAATTCTCTGAGTACCTCAGATGATTTTTTTTTTTTAAAGGAAGTAGCTTTAGCAGATCTCACTATAATCGAGAGAGAGAGAGAGAGAGAGAGAGAGAGAGAGAGAGAGAGAGAGAGAGAGAGAGAGAGAGAGGGGGGGAGAGAGTAAAACCTTCACACAGTCAGGTTAACTGGTAAAAATCATGCGTCCGTTAAGTATCGTATATCGTTTTCCTCCTTAATCAACCAAGTAGAAATTTGTTATCTCTCCTTCGTCAGAAGATATGGCAGTAATCATCACGAAATATGAGGCATTTTTATCAGATACCATGCCGGTCCTACATAAAGGAATCTTGCTCATGCTGCATCTTTTAGGCAATATTATATGTATTTATTAAAAATTGATAAAATAAAATTCTATTGACGAGGGAGATTAATATTCTTCTGTGTTAACAAGTGTTATCCATACTTGCCAAGTTTTGTGGAAGCAAATTAAATCAGGGAGATTTGTGTGTAAAATCAGGGAGATTGCGTCCAAATCAGGGAGACTAGGGTAACGACAATTTTTTTCTCATAAGTTTACAAACTCTGGAGAGTACGGAACTTTTCTTTCCAACCATTACATTTGCATTCTCACTACTAAACCCTACTAGGTTATGTCTGTTTATTAACACTTTTTGAAGACAGTTGAAAAGGTTTTCTCCAGTTCAAATATTGCAAAATGGTCATAGCCGGCAATTTGGTTGTCACTCCGTAAATGTCGCTGTCAAACACCCTTACAAGAATTGCTACACACTTTTCACCACCACTGTCATTAGACTCATCCATCATCACAGAGAAAGGGTTTTCTTTGCATAGCAAAGTTATTTGATTGTCATTCATTGGACCCAGTGCATTGATAACAATGTTTGTTACCTTCGTTCTTTTGTAGTGAAATTTCTGATCAATTTGCTAGAGCTCCCTAAAATGATCTGCAACCAAGAATGGTAAATTATGCTCTGCCATAAAATTAGCAAACAGAACCTCTGTTCTAGAGTATCACTGTCTACTGAGGTTGGGATAAATTTGTACGTTACTTTAGGCACATTATTTGACGATTTCTCATTTACAATGTGTTGCATACCTTTCAAGTGCTTTGTGAGATCATTTTTCTCCCACTAGAAATGTTCGAATGTGTGTTGCAAGCTGTGTAATCCGAGTTTCCTCTGACCATATCCACTCCATGTTTTGATATTTAGACATTTATGTTGGGGTGTTGGGTCAGAGACCATTCCCTATCGAAATGTTGGAATTAGCGAACACCATTTGGTGTCGGCCATGTGGTCCAAGGTTGACATTGCCGAAGTGGAAGGGGAGAAAAGCGCCCCACTCCCCCAGAAATGCCGCATACGGCTTGAGTCTCTGATAGCTTCGGTCAACTAAAATCCAGCTCATGACCTTCACGAGTGGCTTAGTATATAAGTCCGACGGACCATGATTTCACTAACAGGAGAAGGGGTGAAGGCGGTTCATTGGCGCCTTAAAACCAGACGCTTCGGGTAGATGGGGCTCGTAAACCATGGATGATAGCTCATCTAGGAGAACGAAAACTCTGATTCTAAACTTCCGCTACCTTGCGGCTATACCTACTCATGGAAAAGGCTAAGGGAGTAAACCCCTACAGAAAATCCGTAGATGGAGTCTCTAAGACGGTCTGACATTGACTCCAATGCCATCCCGGCAACTCCTGCGATGCTGTTGGTGCCAAGTTTTATCGGCATTAACCGTTCCATTGGGAACACCAGCAACATGGAGAGGAGGATCTGCTGAATGGGTAACAGCTGATCCTCCATACTACCCTGCCAGGCTTTGTAGCTCCACTGGAGAGGAAACTCAGCGTCGCTGTAAGATGTCAGCACAACACGGGAATCAACAGTTTACCGATTATAACCAATAGCTCGATTGGTGTAGAGCTTGGCGCCAGGGGTTGCTTCCGACGGTGTAAGAGACTACCATGTCTCACTGGATACCTACCACCAGTCTCAAGCTGGGCAGCTCCCAAACAGTAAGGTGCTATCCCGCCATGGCCTACCCGCTTCACTGGGTGCGTGAAGCTTAGGGAACATTCTCGACAAGTAGGTCAAAATCTCAACACCAGGCAAGACTCAAAAAAGAGTAAGGAAGAATCCAGTGCTCCGTTTTGCAAGCTAGAACGTCAGGGCCATGTGTACTGGACTTAACTGAGGAAGATTGAAGATGCAGTGAAGACTGCCGTAATTGACAAAAAAACACTCCGGATTGAATGTCGACATTGCCTGCCTTCAGGAGACCAGACTAGCTGACAGCGGCTCACTCAGAGAAACCAACTACACCTTCTTTTGGCATGGAAAGTCCTCCGATGAACCTAGACAGAATGATGTCGGTCTCACTGTAAAGAGCACGCTTATCGCCTTCATCGAGTCTACCAGGCATGTGTACTCAGCACACTCCACTACAGCAGAGAGGCATGGACCACTTACACAAGCCACGAAAGGAAACTCAATAGCTTCCATCTGAGATGCCTGCGGTGCATTCTACGCATCCAGTGGCAGGAAAAATTACCTATCACTAAGGTTCTGGAACGGGCCAGCATGAATAGCATGTTCACCAAGCTAAGCTTGAGGCGCCTTCGCTAGCTCGGCTACGTTAGGCGAATGGATACAGTCTGCATTCCCAAAGACCTGCTATACGGCGAGCTAGCAGAAGGCACACGACTGACTGGACGGCCACGTCTGCGATGCGAAGACGTCTGCAAGAATGACATAAAAACGGCCAACATCAGCGTCAACAA